TTTGATGTTCTAAATTGTTGAATATCTGCCCCAAGCAATGCAATAATATTTTTTTCATTTGTCTCTATTTTTCATAAAGGTATTACAATGATTTTTTTTATTTTTTTCGTAACAGTTGACATTCATATTTTGGCTATTTGGTGAAGACCTACTGCTGCAGGTTGTTATGTAGAAATGCAAAATTCTCGGTTATTGCATTTTATGGAACTGCAGTTATGTTATTTTGGTTTAATATTTCGCTCGTTGTCAACACAACCGGCGGCGATGTACCAGGTAACTGTGTGCAGCTGTGCATGAGTCGCTGCCCGCCTGCCAATGCTATCAATGTTTGGATAGTCATATTATAAATAAGCGCATTTCAAATTGTTGAGCATTTCTATTTTTGTTTTATACTTGAATTGGAATTTTCGATCCAATTTGCGCTCTGTGGCTGCCTTACAACCGTTCAATCAATCAATCAATGCAAAGTGGCGCCTGGATAATTAATGCCAGCCGCACACATATAAAGAGCTGAGGCCATTTAAGTCCAATGCTTAACGTTTAATCAAGTACCCAATTTGTGATTTGTGTGCGAGATTTGTGAGCGAAGCCGCAGCTGACAAACTTGCTGATGTGCCTGGCCAAGACAATGCAGAGGGTTGTGGGAGGTGCAGGGCATAAATTAACGCAAAAGCCTCTAACAATTTGTGGGAATGGGTGAGGGAGTGAGTGAGTAAGTTGAAATTGATTTGCACCTAATGGCTTATGGCTATGGCATGGCAGACAAGTTAAGTGGCTTCGAACTTGGCCAAATGCTGCGCAACTTAAAAAGTAGTTAGGCTGTTCAAAAAAAAAGAAATAATACTCAACTATCACGTCTGCTGATAAATTACTCGACCAGACAGTCAGCAACAAGAACTCGTATCAACTTGACTGCTCAACTAAATTAAGCCTCAGATGAAGCCGTCCCCACAAGGGGCACAACAAATGCAAAACTTTGCGACAAGCGAGAAAAAAGAATGGAGGCAAAGTGTGTAATATTCCATTTGAATGCCAACCATGTTCCGGACGATGTGAAAAGAGAGCCTATACTTTAAATGCGTGCCAAATGCTGCAACCGAAAAAAGCTTACAAGCACATGATGAAATATTTGAAGCATGTGGCAAAAATCCCACAAGCAGATAAAAATATTGTTTAGTAAAATTATGAAGAGCTGGAAAAACAAGCACATAAACAACAGCAACAATTGTCAAACATTTAAACTTTAAGAGTAATTGAAAAATACCAACAAAAAAAGTAAGGAAAAAAAAGCTAACCGAACAAATGCCTGCAAACACCTCACTTCTGTCTCGCTCAGACCAAACGTTAATTTAACTTTGTGTGGCCTCGGTTCAAATAAACTTCGAGTCAAACTTGCTAAATTCTTGGCAAATACATACATAAAAGCTGCTATAAGCCACATCCAATGCAAAAGAGCAGCGCAAACGCTTAAATATTTGTTTATGCAAATATTGCGCATACGCCACGTTTGACGCCCCAGGTGAAAGACTGGCTGGCAACGGTTGACGGCTGCGACATGTAAAAGTTTCAGCATTTGCTTTATATATTTACTGTCTAACTCGAATTGGAATTTTCTTGTATGAAAGACAGTCAAAGTTGAGCAGTAGAACACGCAGCGACAACATCGCCTGAAATGAATGTTCAGGTATGCTTTAACGGCATTTCGGCTAGTCAATGTGTTTATTTTTATATATTTATTAATAAGCTTATTCCACGTACGTATTATAACTGAGAAGAACAGCTGTTGGCTTCCATTCGACTTCAGCTCATGAGCATAGTTCATTTTTGAAAATCTTCTCTAATATGAATACTTATCTTAAATTAAGAGACTTGCAAGCAATCTAAAGATCACTCAATACACTGATGTCAGGGTGCCAAAACGACGGCCTGATTCCAAGCCAGCTATTTAATTTGCTGTGCATGGATTCGCCTGTTTGTGCATGTGTGTATCTCTTTATGATTGCTAATACGTTTGACATACCGCACATGGAAACCTAATCTCTAATCGACTTTGCCTCTGCCTCCTCTTCCACAAAGCAAATCCAATTTCAAACTTTGCTTTTACGCCCAACCCAACTACCAAAACGCTTGACAGTTATTGGAGCTTCGAAGGAATCAGGTATTTAGAAAGATATAAGTAAACGAATATTATTCGGTGTTATAAATATTTTTCGAAAAAAATCTGTATTTATCATTTTTCCCTTTTATTTGACTTTCATTTCCCTATGACATTTTTTTAAAAAACAAATGTATATATTTAGTATCTTACATTTTTATATATGTATATGCAGATATTTAAAGTGTGCTTAAAATAAAATATTAGCATCTAAATGAGTTTTACCCTTGCAGCTTCAACTTTCAAGATGACAACTTTTTTGTCAGCTAACAGTAAAGTTTCCTTTGATGACCTTTTTTATTTGGTTTCTTGCTTACCTTTATCACACCACATTGTTAGCTGTTTTATTTATGTGCAAAGTTGCACAATTAAGTTATATTTTACTGCAAAATAAAAATAATTATTTCAAGTTGCTGTTGGGCACTGTAATAATTATTGCTTTGTGTGCGGTATAATTGAACATAGCAAAACAAAAAAAAAAACGAAAATGAGAATAATAAAAATGCAAATGCGAAATGTCAGCGAAACTTTGTCGTTTGGTGTGTCAATGCTGCATGTTCTCCAATTTCCGTGACAAAACTTAATTAAAGGCAGTACGCAGGACAAACAAGCATTTGTCATTTGGCTCTTTTTTTTTAAGGATATGCACATTACCCCCTTGGTTAACCTTGAAAGTTACTTTGGCATTCGAAAACTTTAACTTGTGTGCAGCTCTTGCATTGAACAACGCTTCAGCTAAACGAACGCAATATATTTTTTTATTTATACGACTGTCAGCTTATACTAGAATTTAATTAAATCTCAGCGCTTGAATTTTACATCATTTGACTTCTTATTTCTTATGGGTCCGTTTGTACATAGAATCACAAGACCCCAAGCAATTCATAACATTTTCCGTACATCCCACACACACACACAAATTCATACGAATTTTAATAAATGTCATGTTTTGCATGCTGTTTGCTTGCTGAGTGATTGATTTATGTCACAATATTTGCAGGCAAATCCATCGCAATCTGCTCTGAAGCACATACTGGCTACCGAGTCTGACCCTTTGCCAGCGAGCAGGTAAACAACCGCAATGAAGCCAACAAATCACCGCTGTTGTATATGAGGGGGTGTGTGTAAGCGAGTGTGTGAGTGTGATTTACAAACAACGCTAAATTAATTTCAACAACTCGCCTGAGCAACCATTTCGTATACTCTGGCTGAGGGTATTTTCCTACGTTAATATTCTTACCTTTACATACTATTTTTATATGCACGGCAAAGAAGAGTCTTGATTTTACCATGTCTGTTTGATTATGTCATCAGAATTTACCTTTAACGATAGTTTAAAGTTATTTTTTTACTGATATTACAATAAACCCAACCCATAACAACTTGTCTTATATTTGCAAAGCAAAAAAGAAAGCATTGAAGTAATCATACTTAAATTTCAGATTTTGTTCAAAAATAAGTTTTAGCCATAAAGTTTGCTACAAAATATTGTACGGATAGGAGAACTCAATAAATATAGTTGGAAGGTCACTTAAGCTCAGGTTATTCCTCTGATAACTTTCCTTACACACTTTATTTAATTTTCGCGTAGCATTTAGTTATTAAACTTTTGATTGCTGCAGTTGTCACCCACAAGAAGTCGGTAACAACCAAAAAAATAAATAAAAAAATCGATATATTTTTGGCTTTCAATTTGCGGTGGCTGACACAGTGTTTAACGAGTGTATTTCGGGGCGCTCAGTTACCAAAAGGCCAACTGTCAAAGCATTGCGAGATCTTCAAGCCAACTGTCATAAATGTCGACATCATTAAAATGTCATAAAGTTGGGACAGGCGGCCCACTAGCCGCCCGCACAGACATACCGAAAGCAACAACTAAAACAGAACCAGCAGCAAATGTAGCAACAACAACAACTGTGAAAGTAGACGCTTTCAAAAATGTGCAAAAATTTCGCGCACTTCCGTTACATTTCGCATCCTTTTTGGCTGTTTATTTTTTGGCGGCGCTTCCCTTAGACAAACCGCTACGGATGCAACCGAACCTCACCCAACACAGCCACCCTCCACAATCTGAGTCCGCACTTGCTGCAAAATGACAAAGCAAGTTGCAAAAACTATTTCTCTTAAAGTGCGATAGAGAGAGAGAGAGTGAGAGGCAAAATGAAGAGATAGGGAGACACAATGCTGCAGTTCATAAAAATTTCATTTTATGAAAATACTCGTACTTGTAATTTTATAGCACTTTATGTTGCTGCTGCATTGGATGAGTCAGTGACAGTGCTCTCAGATGTGATGGTATTTAAAAGTTTCGAGTGTTTATGCCATAACAAGTCTATTAAAGCTCCTAATGGCCGTGTCAAATGAAGCGTTTACCGCTTTTTGCTCTGACCCCATACCAAAGTGCATTAATCATACGCATTGTGGTGCGACAATCAGCGGGCTCAATTTAAAGGATATACTCACGTATATGTATATAAATCTCTAGCTAAATCGAAAAGTAAAACCATAATCGTTTGTTCAATCCTGTCAATAAGCACAACTGAAATCGAAGCCATTAAAATATATTCCGAGGGCATTTTATTTTGAAAGCTAATTAAGTGCGGCCATTAGACGCGGCTGCGTTGCCTTACCAACCAGGCCAGAGGTGGGGTGAATTGGACACAAGGTCGATTAATGAGGCGCAACAAGCAGGCAAACACACTCACCGATTGCCGCCAGGTCGTGGGGGGCGTGGCAGCAATAGCAACATTGAATTAAAGTTCAATTGGCCAAAGCACGCCAAGGGTCGTTAATAAAGCTACTAATAGCCAGTCCGTATGGTAGGATAAGCAATACAAACAGCTGCTTAAATATCGCTACGGATCAAATTTTATTGCGCGTATCAAGCCCTCCTGCTTCCTGAAGCGTAACGGCCTGTGTTACTCATCCTTCTCCTCCATATACTCGGGTACGTAGGGATCTTCTGTCAATGGCGCATACTTATAGTACAGAATCATTAATGCCAAGGCAATGGCTATAATTAAGAACAATGCAAAATTATCGCGTGCAATTTCCATTTCAATATTTTTCATATAGTCATGAAACATATCCTGACAACCATCACAATCGGGTAGGTTACAGCAGGCCGCCATTGACCAAGTTCGATTTGCAATAATATAATCAATAGATCCATGGATGCCACAGCAATCGAATAGCTCCTCCATCATTTCTATCTGTGCCTTCATCCAAAGGGTATGCAGCATCATATTCGTATAGTATCTGAGACTGGAACTGTAAAGATACCGCGACACGGCAACGCATATCGTAAAGAGCAGCAAGGTGGAGCCAGCGAGCATGTAGCCGGCAAACTTGATGATCGACGGATGCTTGGACATGCGTATGCCCAGTATGGCGAACAGTAGATAGACGAATAGACAGATGCCTCGTATCCAAGATATGCGTGCAGACAAACCCAGCAGGCCGATGGTCATGTCAAGCTCGGAGAGTGTGCTCGACCGCAAGTAGATGTGATTGTAAAGATCGACTAGAAATATAATGCCCAGACCAATCAATACAACATTGATCTCAATCACAAAGCCTGGCGATATAGAACAGCACAGCAACTTGGCCATATCACATCCAGTCTGTGTCTATTTCCTGTTTTTGTGCTGAGTGCGGGGCACTGAAATGTAATTCAATGTTTATTTACTTTGAAGTCGAAACGCTTGAGAGCAGGTTCCGTTTTGAAGTTGACCCCAAAGTCAACTGTTGATTTGAGCCAACTCGGATGGCTAATATCAACATTTCGCAGTGCTGATACTCTGTGGCCCGCTTCAGACATGCTGCTGTGGTTTCAAGTGCAAATGAGTTTACTTTAGGCCATAAAATGTGGCACCTGTTGCGATGTGTATCGCTCCATACCCACCCACCTCCACACCCGGCTGTGGCAAAGAGAAAAAAAACAGCTACAGCTAGAATAACAGCAAACAGAAATTAAATATTTGAGACTCAGCCACCTTGAAGTTGATTGCTCTAGACCCGCCTCCTATTCTCCACCCCACGCCCACAAGCACACGCACCTCCAGAGAACGAAAAACAAGCGAAACTGAGTTGCTGGTAGTGAGTGCTTGTCAATATGATACCCTGTATTTGGCTGTAGAGCAATCGCTTTTTGAAATACTCAACTTGCACGCTTAATGGCATCTTGCACTTTGCAATGGTCCGATTCAAACTGCTCTGCAGTAAACAACTCAAGTAACGCTGCTGAGAACATGTATATATATGAGATAATTGTTGGCTGCAGTATTGTGTTAAGTATTAAGATACTTATGATCCTAGACGTATATCATTTTATGATTTATTATTACTCAAAGCGAACAACAATATTTCTTTGCTCATTTCGCTGTCTCAGCACTCTTTATAACAAAGATCTGTTTGCTCTGTTAAAGTTGGGACGACATTTGTTGTTTTTGTGGCTGATTATATAAAAATTAGTTTCCGACTCGCTAAAGGTACAGCTGAAGGTGTAAAAGTGAGTGGATGTGGGTTATTCTGGCGGCCTGCTTTCAATGTTTCCAACTAAAATTTAACATCTCGAATTTAAAGTGCTTAATTAAAACTTTTCCATTTAAGTCTGCACCTTTTCGGAGCCCGCTCAAAATCTGTCACAGTTTATTAATTAAATAAACAAACTGCAGCTGAGCACGTTGCCGGCAATGACAATACATGTTACGAACATTTTGCCGACACAGACCAAAATAAGTAGCGAATTCACCTGTCGCAGCTACGAATTCGAACTGATTATTAGGCGGTCCTTAAAGTGCTTAAAGAACTTTACAACAATACGTTAATAGTTATCCGAAGTGAGCCTTTGTAGCTGAACTATTTAAAAGTAAATACAACGATACATTAATAGATAAAAGAAATGACCAGCATGATTTAAGTGGTAATATGCCCCATATGCTATATAACAGGCTCTTGTTTAACAAAATATTTATTACAGTTGTTGCACAACAAATTTCAATTATTTGCACTTAAACGTTATTAAACTGAAATGTACGCAACCGATCAATGCGCTAATTAATATAATTAAATACATGTATCAACAAATATGCTTGGTATTTACACTCAATCCACATAAAATAATTCGTACTTCAGTGAAAAGTATGTCCAGCGATATAGTAATGAAAAACATGAAACATGAAAAACGTAATATCCCTAAAAGTAATTGGTATACATTTAATGATTATAGCCATATTTTCAATAACTACACTGTAATTTAACGATTGCTATTTGTGGTTTAAGTAATATGATAAGCTTATCAGAATATTTATATAGAATTATCGGAGCATTTCGTACCATATTTAATTACATAATTGCGATTATTAAGAGCATGTGAGTTGAGATAACAATTATACATTTTCTGTCTCTTAAATGATTACATATTCACTTCACTTTTATGTTAATTGTATTATTTTATTAATTAAATAATTGCCATTGTTGTTATGAGCTTGGCAGCGATTGAAGTCGCTTTAATCTTGCTTTAATGCATGTATTTCAAAATCGCCGTTTGTCATTGTATTTAACTGTTCTTTAATTGCAATTTTCAATTATGAAATTAAAGGTTTCAAAAACACGTGCACTAATTAAAAATTGAATTTTGACGTGACGAGAGGTCAATGAGAATAGCCACAGCCTGTCGAGAAGCAGCGCTCAGGACTCATCAAATATTAAGAGGGTAATGCAAATTTTAGCACTTGTCCAAGTATTACCTGACAAGTCGTTAAGCAACAGCAACAGCCAGGATCTAGGGTTAGATGGCTCATCGAAAGGGGTCCACTTAGCTCCACAACTGTCTGATTGACTTTAATTGATTTCAACTAACGCGTTTGTAAGTGCTAGCCATGAATTGTGCACAGCGCCGAACACTGATGGGTTTATAATCACAGAGGCACTTGAATAGACAGCGCCTCAGAAGACTATCGATATCTTTACTTGTAAAATGGTGTTCCGCAAAATCTTTCACAGCATCTATCCGCAGCCGGATAGTGTCTCAGCCGAGTCACGCAAGGCAACGCTATACTTGCTACGCTGCGTCTTCCTGATGGGTCTGCGTCGATTGTTATCCGATCAATTTTGTGCTCCCACTGCGCGCTCACCTGGGTAGCTTTGCGGATCGTCTGCTGACAGTTCGGCAATGATTCTGATGAGACGTCGGATCAGCGTTGCTAAAAATCGTTCATTGCATTGAGGATCACAATGTGATTTTGAGGTGATTCAGTGGTTTAGATAGAGTTGATGCCTTCATTAATTTACCTTCCTGCTTTCAGCTTCTGTGATACTTTGCGTCCTGATTGGTGGCACCATCTTTGTGCAACTCTTGGTAGTGGGTCTTGTTCTGGGGCTTACCATAATCAACATTGTAATTTTTTCCGACATTGGCTCACGAATTTCGGCGATGTCCTTCATGATAGGGGTGCTGTTAGAGACAACGCTATTCTGCATTCTGTGCAACTATCTGGCAGATGACTGTAATAAACTAGCGGATGCTCTTTTTGAGTCCAACTGGATCGATCAAGAGCAGCGGTACAGGAAAACAAATTAATTTGCCCCTTACAAACAACATCGGCACCTTGCGAACCAATGTGATGTTACTTCCAGTCGGCACCCTTGTGGAGGGTACAGTTTAGGAAATTTTGGCAAGCAACACTGCTAAAGTGTTACTATTTTTCTTTGGAGCATAAATATATTTATTAAGACACTTAATCAATTACACTAAACGATTTGACATAAGCACATTAAACTAATCACAAAAGGTTTGCTTTGTATAATTTATACATTGATAAACATTATATTCAATCAATCATCTTTGAATTTATCCGCAATATTCATTTGCTGAACGATGGTAATAACCGAAAACGCAAACTTGGCTACCTTTAAAATAGAAAAATAAACAACATTTAAAAAAATAATAATAAATATTATAGTAAATATGTATATCAGGCTGCATAACTTACGCTTATGTTGCTGCTCATGGATATCGGAAAGATACCGCCGGCGATGAAAACGATGGGCTGCTGCACATTGTGTAGAAAGTAAAATAGAGTGGACTGATATCGGGGACTGGAACCTATCCAATTGCTCTGAAAGATGGCATGTGCAAGGGCCTCGCAGTCATCGATAATCAGGTTGCAGATGTAGCAGAAGGGGAACGTCTCCAGCAGAATAGCGACAATATATACGACGGAGGAGAAGCCCGTCCAAAGATCAGAGAAGAAGAACAAATTGATATAGGTTAGTCCAAGTTCACAGCCAATGAGCAGAAACTGTATGAAAATTGTGCCCGATATGACAGGTCGAATAAGAGCGCAGTATCTGTGAAGAGAAATAGTCACATAATATTGTCAAGTAATTATCTATGATTTGTCTAACTCCAATATCAGCTTGTGATCCAAGACGCAATTCACCAGTTCCTCGTAGTTCTCGTCCTCGGTCATTTCTGGGTTGGTGCGCAGCTTACTAATACGTCCGTTGAGTAGTTCTAGATGAGTTCGCAGGATGAGTCCATATACCAATGTATAGCTGTCCGACAACATATTCTGTACCGCAGTGCCCATCACTACCATCAACTCAAACGTCGAGACAATCCACAAATTGCGTGTGCCATCATGCCAGTCCAAGAATGGATTATATAGCTGATAGGGGGGACGACCACTGAGTACGAAACTGAGATAGGTGCAGAGCACATAGCCGCAGTAGACAATGGTGAATATGAGAACTACGTGATTACACCGCGCGACAATGCGATGAATCTTCTCGCGTTCCTCGAGACTGGAGCAATGCACATCCAGCTTGTCCAGTAATTCCCTGGCCTTAATCAGGCGCCAAAGCTGCGAGTAGATGATGATTACTTTCGTCGAGCAGCCGCTGGCACTGAGGCACACCTGCAACGACGTTAGAAACTCGCCCGGCGAAAACAACTTAATTTGCGTTATATAGCTGCCCAGCAAACCCAGTGGTACGTAGGCGGTGTGCCATCCAAAAGCCATCAGTGTCCAACTGAAATACACATAGCGTAACAGAACTGCCTTTGGTGGTATCCAACCAATAAACTTCATAGCTCGGTACAGATAGATAAAACCATCCTGGGAGGCCACCTTCTCCGTCAACGGCGCTTGCTTGATCAATCTGAAGAGCATCCTGGGCTGAATACCAATTGTATCTAATGGCTCGTCGGTGGTGCATTCCTTTATATAGGTACTGGCACCTACATATTCAACAATGCAGTGGAAAAGTGCCCTTATGTTTTCATACTTTAAATTATTCACATGTATTTTGACGTGACGACAGGTCAATGAGAATAGCCACAGCCTGTCGAGAAGCGGCGCTCAGGACTCATCAAATATTAAGAGGGTGGTGCAAATTTTAGCACTTGTCCAAGTATTACCTGACAAGTCGTTAAGCAACAGCAACAGCCAGGATCTAGGGTTAGATGGCTCATCGAAAGGGGTCCACTTAGCTCCACAACTGTCTGATTGACTTTAATTGATTTCAACTAACGCGTTTGTAAGTGCTAGCCATGAATTGTGCACAGCGCCGAACACTGATGGGTTTATAATCACAGAGGCACTTGAATAGACAGCGCCTCAGAAGACTATCGATATCTTTACTTGTAAAATGGTGTTCCGCAAAATCTTTCACAGCATCTATCCGCAGCCGGATAGTGTCCCAGACGAGTCACGCAAGGCAACGCTATACTTGCTACGCTGCGTCTCCCTGATGGGTCTGCGTCGATTGTTATCCGATCAATTTTGTGCTCCCACTGCGCGCTCACCTGGGTAGCTTTGCGGATCGTCTGCTGACAGTTCGGCAATGATTCTGATGAGACGTCGGATCAGCGTTGCTAAAAATCGTTCATTGCATTGAGGATCACAATGTGATTTTGAGGTGATTCAGTGGTTTAGATAGAGTTGATGCCTTCATTAATTTACCTTCCTGCTTTCAGCTTCTGTGATACTTGCATCCCATGATTGGTGGCACCATCTTTGTACAACTCTTGGTAGTGGGTCTTGTTCTGGGACTTACCATAATCAACATTGTAATTTTTTCAGACATTGGCTCACGAATTTCGGCGATGTCCTTCATGATAGGGGTGCTGTTAGAGACAACGCTATTCTGCATTCTGTGCAACTATCTGGCAGATGACTGTAATAAACTAGCGGATACTCTTTTCGAGTCCAACTGGATCGATCAAGAGCAGCGGTACAGGAAAACAAATTGATTTGCCCCTTACAAACAAGTTCGGCACCTTGCGAACCAATGTGATGTTACTTCCAGTCGGCACCCTTGTGGAGGGTACAGTTTAGGAAATTTTGGCAAGCAACACTGCTAAAGTGTTACTATTTTTCTTTGGAGCATAAATATATTTATTAAAACACTTAATCAATTACACTAAACGATTTGACATAAGCACATTAAACTAAACACAAAAGGTTTGCTTTGTATAATTTATACATTGATAAACATCATATTCAATCAATCAGTTTTTAATTTATCCGCAAGATTAATTTGCTGAACGATGGTAATAACCGAAAACGCAAACTTGGCTACCTTTAAAATAGAAAAATAAACAACATTTAAAAACATAATAATAAATATAATAGGCTGCATAACTTACGCTTATGTTGCTGCTCATGGATATCGGCAAGATACCGCCGGCGATGAAAACGATGGGCTGCTGCACGTTGTGTAGAAAGTAAAATAGAGTGGACTGATATCGGGGACTGGAACCTATCCAATTGCTCTGAAAGATGGCATGTGCAAGGGCCTCGCAGTCATCGATAATCAGGTTGCAGATGTAGCAGAAGGGGAACGTCTCCAGCAGAATAGCGACAATATATACGACGGAGGAGAAGCCCGTCCAAAGATCAGAGAAGAAGAACAAATTGATATAGGTTAGTCCAAGTTCACAGCCAATGAGCAGAAACTGTATGAAAATTGTGCCCGATATGACAGGTCGAATAAGAGCGCAGTATCTGTGAAGAGAAATAGTCACATAATATTGTCAAGTAATTATCTATGATTTGTCTAACTCCAATATCAGCTTGTGATCCAAGACGCAATTCACCAGTTCCTCGTAGTTCTCGTCCTCGGTCATTTCTGGGTTGGTGCGCAGCTTACTAATACGTCCGTTGAGTAGTTCTAGATGAGTGCGCAGAATGAGTCCATATACCAACGTATAGGTGTCCGGCAACAGATTCTGCACCGCAGCGCCCATCAGTACCATAAACTCAAACGTGGAGACAATCCACAAATTGAGTGTGCCATCATGCCAGTCCAAGAATGGATTATATAGCTGATAGGGGGGATGACCACTGAGTACGGAGCTGAGATAGATGGAGACCGAATAGCTGGAGTAGATAATGGCGAATATGAGAACTACGTGATTACACCGCGCGACAATGCGATGAATCTTCTCGCGTTCCTCGAGACTGGAGCAACGTACATCCAACTTGTCCAGTAATTCCCTGGCCTTAATCAGGCGCCAAAGCTGCGAGTAGATGATGATTACTTTCGTCGAGCAGCCGTAGGCACTGATGCACACCTGCAACGACGTTAGAAACTCGCCCGGCGTAAACAACTTAATTTGCGTTATATAGCTGCCCAGAAAACCCAGTGGTAAGTAGACGGTGTACCATCCAAAAGCCATCAGTGTCCAACTGAAATACACATAGCGTAACAGACCTTCCTTTGGTGGTATCCAACCAATAAACTTCATAGCCCGGTACAGATAGATAAAACCATCCTGGGAGGCCACCTTCTCCGTCAACGGCGCTTGCTTGATCAATCTGAAGAGCATCCTGGGCTGAATACCAATTGTATCTAATGGCTCGTCGGTGGTGCATTCCTTTATATAGGTACTGGCACCTACATATTCAACAATGCAGTGGAAAAGTGCCCTTATGTTTTCATACTTTAAATTATTCACATGCATTTTGAAGTGACGACAGGTCAATGAGAATAGCCACAGCCTGTCGAGAAGCGGCGCTCAGGACTCATAAAATATTAAGAGGGTAGTGCAAATTTTAGCACTTATCCAAGTATTACCTGACAAGTCGTTAAATCAACAGCAACAGCCAGGATCTAGGGTTATATGGCTCATCGAAAGGGGTCCACTTAGCTCCACAACTGTCTGATTGACTTCAATTGATTTCAACTAACGCGTTTGTAAGTGCTAGCCATGAATTGTGCACAGCGCCGAACACTGATGGGTTTATAATCACAGAGGATAGCGTTGGGTTATAAAAAGAGACAGTTGAATGGACAGCGCTTCAGAAGGCTATTGATATCATTACTTGTGACATGGTGTTCCGCACAATCTTTCACAGCATCTATCCGCAGCCGGATAGTGTCTCAGCCGAGTCACGCAAGGCAACGCTATACTTGCTACGCTGCGTCTTCCTGATGGGTCTGCGTCGATTGTTATCCGATCAATTTTGTGCTCCCACTGCGCGCTCACCTGGGTAGCTTTGCGGATCGTCTGCTGACAGTTGGGCAATGATTCTAATGAGATGTCGGATCAGCGTTGCCAAAAGTCGTTGATTGCATTGAGGATCACAATGTGATTTTGAGGTGATTCAGTGGTTTAGATAGAGTTGATGCCTTCATTAATTTACCTTCCTGCTTTCAGCTTCTGTGATACTTTGCGTCCCATGATTGGTGGCACCATCTTTGTGCAACTCTTGGTAGTGGGTCTTGTTCTGGGGCTTACCATAATCAACATTGTAATTTTTTCCGACATTGGCTCACGAATTTCGGCGATGTCCTTCATGATAGGGGTGCTGTTAGAGGCAACGCTATTCTGCATTCTGTGTGACTATCTGGCAGATGACTGTAATAAACTAGCGGATGCTCTTTTCGAGTCCAACTGGATCGACCAAGAGCAGCGGTACAGGAAAACTTTGCTTAAGTTTTTGCAATCCTTACAGTAGCCCATTGTTTTCATGGCTGGCAATATGTTAAAAGTTTTTGTGGCTACCAATCTGAATGTAAGTGGGCTTATAAAAAATACATAAACTATATTTTATTCGTATAATTACAGTGTTATATTCTGCAGTCTACAAAATTCTCATTCTCTGGTTAAGCAAATGAATTTAGCGGAAAAACAATCCAAAGCACCCGAATAAAATAAGTATGGCCAATTAAAACCATGAACATTGAATTTTGTTGGTGAATGGAACAAATATGAGGAAAATGCGTTGTTGATGCCTGAAAGTAGGCCATCAACAGCGAACTGCCGCTCTCACCTTTCGCAACTCTCTTACACAAATGTACTGTCTGCTTAGTGGTAATATCCACTACCCTCTTGCAACATAAGCGATTTTTGAATACAGTTATTTTTAAGCTTCACTCTACCACTATAATTTACAACACTCTTAACAGACTCTAATTATTTAATAATTATTAAGGCGAACTTGATTTATTTTCCAACATTTACTTGGTTTTCCAGCGTAAATATATTTATTAAAACAATTAATCAATTGAAAAACACAATTTGACATAAGCACAATGAACTTCACAAAAATGTTTGCTAATTTACTTTGCATAATGATGATTTATCATATATAAATTAAAAAGTATTATTCTCAATCAATCAGTTTTGAATTTATCCGCAATATTCATTTGTCGAACGATGGTAATAACCGAAAACGCAAACTTGGCTACCTTTAAAATAGAAAAATAAACAACATTTAAAAACATAATAATAAATATAATAGGCTGCATAACTTACGCTTATGTTGCTGCTCATGGATATCGGAAAGATACCGCCGGCGATGAAAACGATGGGCTGCTGCACATTGTGCAGAAAGTAAAATAGTGTGGACTGATATCGCGAGCCGGAACCTACCCAATTAATCTGAAAGATGGCATGTGCAAGGTCCTCGCAGTCATCGACAACCAGGTTGCAGATGTAGCAGAAGGGGAACGTCTGCAGCAGAATGGCGACGATAAACACGGCTGATGCGAGGCCAGTCCAAGCGTCGGAGAAGAAGAACAAATTGATCAAGGCAATTCCAAGGACAACGCCAATGAGCAAAAATTGTACGAAAATTGTGCCCGATATGACAGGTCGAATAAGAGCGCAGTATCTGAGAAAAGAAATAGTCAGATAATATTATCAAGTAATTATCTATGATTTGTCTAACTCCAATATCAGCTTGTGATCCAAGACGCAATTCACCAGTTCCTCGTAGTTCTCGTCCTCGGTCATTTCTGGGTTGGTGCGCAGCTTGCTAATACGCCCGTTGAGTAGTTCTAGATGAGTGCGCAGGATGAGTCCATATACCAATGAATAGGTGTCCGATAACTGGTCCTGTAGTACAGCGCCCGCCATTATCAAATATTCCAGCGTCGAGACAATCCACAAATTGCGTGTGCCATTATGCCAGTCCAAGAATGGATTATATAGCTGATAAGGAGGACGACCACTGAGTACGGAGCTGAGATAGGTGGAGACCCCATAACTGCAGTAGATAATAGTGAATATGAGAAAGACGTGATTACACCGCGCGACAACGCGATGAATCTTCTCGCGCTCCTCGAGACTTGTGCAGCGCACATCCAACTTGTCCAGCAAATCCCTGGCCTTAATCAGGCGCCAAAGCTGCGAGTAGACAATGATCACCTTTATCGAGGAGCCGTACGCATTTATGCACACCTGCAACGACGTTAGAAACTCGCCCGGCGAAAACAACTTAATTTGCGTTATATAGCTGCCCAGAAAACCCAGTGGCAAGAAGGTGGTGCACCATGCAAAAGTCATCAGTGTCCAACTGAAATACACATAGCGTAACAGACCTTCCTTTGGTGGTATCCAACCAATAAACTTCATAGCTCGGTATAGATAGATGGAGCCATCCCTGGAGGCCACCTTCTCCGTCAACGGCGCTTGCCTGATCAATCTGAAGAGCATCCTGGGCAGAATACCAATTGTATCTAATGGCTCGTCGGTGGTGCATTCCTTTATATAGGTGTTGGTCTATCATTCCTTTATAGAGGTGCTGGTCTAGCAACATTTATTAAAGTTTTTAATTCAGTCGAAAAGTTTGCTATTAAATTTTAATTTTTTAAATAATTTACTTGAGAGTTTTCTCTAATTTTGGGAGTCATTGCACATGTTGATTTTCCAACCTGAATTAATGATGGCTTGAAGAAACTTAGCCAAAGCAGTCGCGTCATCAATCGTCATAGCTTTCGCTGTGATCGGTCGTGTTTTCGCTGTGCTCTGGCCATTTTTCTTAACTTAACTAATTTAATTGATATTATTGTATATATTTAATTGAAGAAATTAATAAAATAATTTTCTTGTGTAGTTGTGCTTGTGTTCTTTTCTATTAATCTCAAATATATTTGGATATTTGGGCTTTTATCCATTTTCTGCGTAATATTACACAATGTCTAGAAAGTGTTGTAATAACTAAAAAAAATTATATTTTCTCATTCCTTTTACCACAATGTACTTTATTATAAACTTTAATTTATTTTTTAATTTTTGTATTATTAAATGATGTTTTAAAACTATTTGAAAAAAAAACCAGATTCATTATCTTGAACTCGTGTGAAATTTTAAAATCCAAATTTACACATAAATTTCAGAGCATTTAACCTGAAATTGTTAGAGCCAAGCGAAATTAAATCCAAAATGTCAAAGGAATTAGACGACCCTTATACGACCAATCACAAATAACATGCATGTATTTGAGCATGGCCATCTACTAATTTATACTAGTTTTATTTGCTCTGAATGGGTTTTTTTCTCTCTGTTTTCCCAATTGACAATTTTACATATAAATACCGCCGGAGATTTTGAGAATATTTATTATTATTTGTATTTTTATTTAAGTATTAAATTTTATTTTTAATTTAATCTCCGTTTTTTTTTAGACTCTTGTAGTTTTCTGAGTCGATTGATATTAGTTGACATTAATTAAATAAATGATAAAAATGACAAACACAGCGTGCGCCTAAATTGCGTCAATTATGTTTGTAATTAAAACAACAGGCTTAAATCTACCCAATCAAGCCGAATCAATATACCCATGTCCATCTGCCTATCCGAATGAAGAGCTAAAGACTTTGTATGTGGATTTGAAGTTCTTGTATTCCCCAGGCAGATCATTTTTATTTTATTTTATCGATAGGTGCTTCCGTTTCACGAATATATTTAAGTATCGCTTTCCGATAGCAATGAAAGCCACAATTTTTAATGTAGAGATATCTAATTGATATCCAACATACATTGACCTATTTTTTATCAACTGCCCGATCGTCAAAATACCCAAGCTAATTGAGAATAAATTCTCATAAATACTCGAATATATCGTAATCGATCTCACCCGACTCCAGAATTCTTATCTTATTTCGTTTTATATTTACGGTATCACAATGAATTACATTTTCCCAAATAGTCACAAATTATGTAAAATAATGTAAGAAAATGTATGTTGAATACCAACTTGCTAATAAGTTACTTGGTTTATTTCCAGCGTAAATACACTTATAAACAAACAATTAATCAATTGAAAAACACAAACACCACACGATTTGTCATTACTACACTAAATTATGCGAAAAGGTGTGCTGATTTGCTTTGAATAATATATAAATATGTGGAGTGCACTCCAGAAATCATTCAGTTTTGAATCTATCCGCAATATTCATTTCCTTAACGATGGTGATGACCGTAAATGCCAACTTAGCTACCTAAAGAACAAAACATGGCAAATTTAAAAGAATAATAATAGCAGGCTGCATAACTTACGCTTATGTTGCTGCTCACGGTTATGGGCAAGATACCGCCGGCGATGAAAACGATGGGCTGCTGCACATTGTGCAGAAAGTAAAATAGTGTGGACTGATATC